CTTCAGAGACCTTGTTGTATCACAGGCTACACTCATGAGAAAGGCAGCAGTGCTGTTCTGTCTCGGTGTGAAGCCAGCACGCTGCACGTGCCCTTGGTGTCCAGGAGGGTTGTGGGAAGATCAGTGAGGATTTTCGAGTTGGCCAACCATTTGCTGCTACTGCTGGTGTTTCCCAGTAAAATAAAAACACCTCTTTAGGTTTCATTTTTTTAAATGTAATGTTTTCATTTTCAAAAATCAAAAGGTTGGAAAAATTGGGGGGAAAAAAGGCCTATCATCTGTCCATCCAGAAATAAATCTTATTATATAGTCTGCTAAACCTAAAAAAAAAATTATTTTTCATAGTGAGAGTTCATATAAAAGTTCTCCTTGTTTCCAGGTTTTAAGATTTTCTAGTCAGTCACCCTCTTGGGATACCATTCCCCGGCGCTTGCTCAAACACAACTGTTTATTGATCCATAAAGCTAACTATAGATATTGAGAGTGTTTAGAAATCTTCATAGAAACTTGACACATTTGTCATGGTATCCGTGCCTATAGGAGTGTGGGGAAAACTTATCTCACTTTGCTCAGTGATTCAGTCTTGGGGGAGGGGGTGGCGGTTCAGGGAGAGCCAGTGTCTCCCTTTCTGCTTTATACAATAATATATTTGGGATTTTGTAATGTACATATATCTCTTTTATTAAGAAGCACACATCAATGGTTCTCCTTGCCATTTTTGGAAAAACTAAACCCATAAACAATGCGCAGGTCATGGGCTTTTCCATGCTGCTTCCTGGCTTTGCAGCTTCAGAGCTGTTTTCCAGCCATCACAGCCTCACCCACAGTCCCGAGACAGGAGTTCACAAGACATTGTTTTTAGATTTTTCAGATTAAGAGCATTTAAGTAATGACAATGAGGAATGGTCACTGTTGGGAGTTGTCCACTTCCTTTCTTTGCTTCTGACTGTGGTTATTACTTATCTTCTTCATAAAGGTATGGTTTCCGGAAGCCACCATATGTAGAGCTAAAAGCTCGGCCAAAACTTGGAGAGAGAGAAGTGACTTTAGTTCATGTGACAGACTGGATAGAGAAGAAACTGGAGCAAGAGTTTCAGGTACACCTGAGGTTATCTAGCGTTTCACAGGCACCTGCAGGCTCTGGGTAGAGTGGGGGGTGGGGGAGCGAACTCCGAAAATCAGATGAAAAACTGTGGGCCCTCATCCCAGGCAGGTGACAGGAGTGACATTTCAGATAGTTTGAAAAACCCCTGAAACAGTCACAGAATCCAGAGTTGTCTTCAGAGGAGAAACCCAAAAGGCAGGAGTCTATAAACAAAATGGCTGCCTTGTCCTCGTACACCTTGGGGGCAGGGGCCCCCTCTTCCTGCTGGGCTGTCTTTGGACTTTCTCCCAGAGCAGGGCCTGGCATTGGCCCTCAGGTAGGACCCACACAGGTTAGAGAAGTTGCTTTTGTCTTTATATGGTATCCACCTCACTCAGTTTGTTCAGCTCAACCGGAAACCTACCCTGGGAATCCAAAGAAAACAGCAGGCCTGTCCCCCCTGCCGATCTGCCTGGAGGTGACTAAGCCAGAACTCATTCTTTGGCATTTGCTACATGGTGTAGCTAAGGCCCTGGTGAGCTACTTCTATCAAATTTTCATCAGCTGAGATTTTTCAAGGTCTTACAGATTAGCAAGCAACTTACTTTGTCATGAAGCCCCCCTTTGGAAGAAGACACATTTTTTATAGTATGTTTTGAATTATTGCCTTTAAAAAATGATGTTCTCCTTATTTAAAGGCTAGAGATAATATAATTAATAACCAGTTTCTGGAAAGCTTAATGTGTCACCAAATAGAAAATTTGAATCTAGCCAGGGGAGAGACCACCTCATGCCTTCAGTGTTCTTTCTTATCTTCCTCAACCCTACATTAGGCGTGTGAGGCCTCTCTTCAGGGGCCTTGGGTAAAAGGAGCAAAAGAAGGGGAGGGGGCAAAATATTGATGCCTGGTATTTTTGAAGCTAGTTGGGAACGCAAAGGATAACAGCTGCAGCCCCCATGGCCCGTTTTGTTTTCTTCTATACTTTGGTGAGTGCATTACTCAAAATTGACTGTGTTGCCAAAATGCACTTACGTCAAATTAGATTATAAATAGACAGGCAGAGCCCCATTACTATCCATCACGCATTATCCTTCTGGTGTTCATGATAGGATTTTTCTTATATAACTTTGCATGGTTCTCTTTGAAAAAAAATTGTTTACATTTTGTTACTAGGAGTTAAATGGAAAAATTCACCTGGAATATGTATCCAAGTTACAGCACCTTGGAAATACTACGAGCAGCTTAAACCAGTTCTCTTAATGTTGAATATTAGTTCTTGAGTAATCTTATTACATGTGCGTGAAATCAAAGGCTGCTTCTGCCCCAGAGCTGACTTATTGGGCTCTTGTGTTCATGCACTGAATCTTCAACGCTTTCTGAATTGAAGTGTGGGAGAGGGACTCGTTTGGAACGTGTAGAACTTGTGGTAGTCTGTATCTTACTACTTGATAAAACAAGGCATTCTTGCACATGACTTGCTCTTTCTTCCTGCAGAAAGTTTTTGTCATGCCAAACATGGATGATGTTTATATCCCTATAATGCACTCAGCCATGGACCCTCGCTCCACTTTCTGCCTCCTGAAAGACCTGTCGGTTGAGGCTGCCGATCAGCTGTGATGGGGGAGCACTGGCACTCACAGTATTAGCAGACCGAGCTCCAGGTGTGGGGCTCATGGCCGCCGTCCAGGCTGTAGCACCGGCCTCTCCTTGTGCCACAGCTTCTGCCCTCTGCCTGCTGGTGCCCATCCCACTGTGAGATGTTCAGTAACTGGTATCTGGATTGCCTGCTGCGAAGCTGTGACTCAGCCAAGGAAACAGGAAAGACCATCACAGCAGACCCAGAGTTTCAAGTGGTTCACACCCCCGCTTTCTACTTTACAAAAAGAGCACATGGAGCAGGCTGTCCACCTGGAAGGCCGCCCTTGCCTGACGCCAGCTTTTCCTCAGGCAGCCAGAGCAGGATGGGCCACTGTCACTTCTGTGGTCTGTGTGATGCCAGCCCCCCCATTCCAGAGACTGGCGGTTTGGTGGGAGTGGCATTCTGTGTAGGCCCAGCAACTTGCTCATCATTGGAATTGTGCATTTTGGAAGCAAGTAGCCATAGAACACACACACCAACACTCAGCTCGGGTGGGGACCGCGGGGTTCACGTGAACATTAGGCAAAGCCATGAGATCAAACCATCCCAAGCCTTTACCAATGAGTACAATCGCCTGGTTTGTAACCCCATGTTTTCCCGAGACAAGAGCTTTTGTGAAAATGTCGAACTCGCACTGAATGACCAGTGGTGGGCCAGGAAGCCAGAGCCAGTCCAACCACCTGGCACTTCCTGTGCTCTGGGAAGCTTTGTGGGGAATCTTAATGCATCATTAATGGAATTGGTTGGGGATAGTTTTGAGGGCAGTTTCCCTTTCTGGTGGCCAAAGCGGAGAACTGCTCTCTTAACTATCAAGGTGAGAGTCAAGACCAAAAGTTTGCTTGACATCAAACACTACAAATCTCAAAATTAACACGTGACCTTTCTTTAATGTTGCCAACTTTATTTTGTGCATTTGTGTCATGATGTAGTTTACAAGTTTGGGGGCTCTGATTGTAAAACTTGCTTTGAGAAGTAAAAACAAAACTTGTTTAAAATTGCATTCAAATCAAAATTACCTTTGGGTATCTTTTGATAACTTACATTTGTGGATAAAGCTAATAGTGGTTTTTTAAACAGCACCTTGCTTGAACATGACTTTTAAGAAATGAGTCTTATCGAAAAAAATTTCAACCCTTATTTGATTCCAATCGCACCATTAAAACATGACTTAAATCACTTGACCATTCCAGTCAGTGTACTGTTCTAATTTCTCATTGTGTAGGCCAATTTGCCTGTCAGTCCGCATGTCTTGTTCACTGGTCTTTATAATTTCTGTGCAATAACTAAAGGACTAGATGCACTACTGTGTAGATTCCACGACTGTACTCTATTGCACTTAATCAAATAGTATGTGGGGATTTACAATCGCTTGTATTGTTTCACAAATAAATATCTCATGTCAAAAACAAGATCATCATTTGTGCTGAATCCTGTTTACAAGTAGGGACAGAGCCTGGTGGCCCTCCTTTAGTAAGTGCAGTGGACCGAGGTGGTCCTAGCCACACCCTGATAGGCAGGTGTCCTGGCAGTTTAGACCCCTCACGTATGCATCTTTGTCATTCAACTTCTGACTTGTCCTCAGTATACATCTCACCCAAGCACAGGTCAGAGATGGCTCATCTTTCATTTGGATTAGTTTGATCATACATGTGCCCATATGTGAAAAATCACAGCAGTGTGTAAAATCTAACCTAACTGCCCTGTTACTACCTGTGCAAGCTAACGACACGCTAACCCGACCAAGCTTCACCTCGCACCTGGCGCACCGCACCCAAGTAAGCAGTCGCCTGAATGTGGCTCGCAGCCACCACTGCACCGTAGTCAGGGGAGTCAAGTCCCCCCGCCCCCGCAGAGGCCGCCCCGCCCGCCTCCCGATCCCCGCGGGGGGGTCGCGACGGGGACGGCCGCAAGCGAGCCGCGGGATCCCCAGTGCCCTGGCTTTGAGGGCTGCGCCCCAGCTCGCACGCAGCCGTGTCGCTCGCGGTTAAAAGGGCCGCCGGCGGGGGGCGGGCGGCCCCAGTTATGCGCGAGCTCGTGCTCTGGCGCCGCAGCCTGACCCCCGGGGCCACGCGCAGGCCGCGGGGGCTCAAAGGCGGCGCGTCGCGAGGACACACACGAGACGGACACGAGCACTGGGTCAGCCACTTTATTGAGGGACTTCGAGGGCGGGAGGGCCGGGGGCCGACGTCCGGGGCCGCGGGACCTGCGGGGACAAGAGCGCAGGGTGAGCGGGGGGAGCCCGCCGCCCGCCCCCTCCCGGCCGCCGCCGCCGCCCGGCTCAGACTCCAGGTCGCATCACTCGCATCAGCAGTCTAACGCGTGCTTTGGAAAGTCATCACCGCAGGCCGCCGGCCGCCCGCCCCCCCCCCCCCGCCCCCGAGCCCCGAGACAGGCCGCCGCCGCACCCCAGCGAGCCTCACCTCCCCGGCCGCGGAAAGGCCGGGGACGCGGCCCCGCTTCCACTTAAAGGAGCGACCGCGGCTGTTGGGCGGGGTTTACCGCGATTGACCAATAGAAAGTCGAGCTTTAGGCCACGTGCTTGTAAGGTGACTTAATGATTGGCCGGGCTCTCCGAGCCATCCAGGGTGTAGAGTGGTCACGTACCGACCATAGAGACGGGCGTCGAGGGCGGCCAGAGAGTCGCGTGCGACGTCACCCGTGCGGGTTTCTCCCGCGTCTCGTCGCCGCGGGCCCTGGTGCTCCCGCCATCCCCGCGGGGCCGCTTTGCGAGCGAGCGGTTCCTGGCTTGGGCGGGATTTTTTATAGAAACTAGGATAAACGCCGAGGGTGTAAAGTTGAGCGAAGGTAACGTTGTCCCCGGAGGTCAAAGTCACCAGTCCCGGTGGAAAGAGTCTGTCTCCCAGCAGCTCGGGGCCTGGTGCTGCATCGCCGTGGCCGCCGGAGCCTCGGTTTCTGAAAAAGAGTAATAGGCCACAAAGTTGTGAAGAGGGGCCTCCCTGGTGGCGCAAGGGGTTAAGACGAACCTATGAGGCAGTCCGCAGCCTCTGCAACACGAGCTCGATCCCGGGCCAGGGAGCTACCCACATGGCGCGGCAGACCTCTCCTGCCTCCCCGCTGCTCCCCTCAGCAGTGTACTTCGGTCCGTCTGCCTGTTCTGCTCCCCACTCTGTCTCTGGTGAATCCTCTCACCCCTCCCCCCAAATCTCTGGCCTGTGCCCTTCTTGTATGCATAAATAAATCTTTTATGAAATAAAAAAGTTGTAAAGAATGAAAACTACTGGGCCCGTTTAGTGGCCAACAAGCATTTGTCTTTAAAGAACTGATATGACATGGAAAAATTCTGTCATTGCAACGCTTTAAAAAAAAATGCCAAAACAGTTTTGAACAGCGTCTTGGGGAGTTCAAAGAGCCCTGACTGGGAAAAGTAAACGTGCTTCTTAGTGGCGAGCTCATAAGAGTGGGAAGATAAGAAAGCTGTGCTGCCCGAGAGCTTGATTTACTGCAGGGAGAGCGCAGGAAACTAACAGTCTCCAAGTATCTTAATTTCCTTCATACGCTTTCCTTGGGAATTATTTTCCTGTCAATAAGAAAATAATAAAATTTTAATAATAAAAAGACAAAAGGTGAAAGCAGTTCAGCTTTGGACTTTGTAGTCCAAAAGACTCTCATTTTCATTTTCTCTCTAGTCTTTAAAATTAAAATAAATTTTTGATCCAAAACATTATTATGGCAAATGTTTTGTAATAATATGAATATTTTTATTGTATTGCTATTTAAAATTTTATTAATGTCAACATTTACTACAGTGTGGTACAGGTTCTACATTGGGAAATGTATGAAAGTTCTCCCTGTGGCCTAGAATGTGATCTATTGTAACAAGTGTTCCATGGATTTTTTTTTTTTTTTTTTTAAGATTCATTTACTTATACAAGAACCGGGTACAGGCCAGAGGCGCAGGAGGCTTAGAGGATTCACCAGAGACAGAGCAGGGAACAGAAAAGGCAGATCGACTGAAATACACTGCTGAGGGGAGCAGAGGTCTGCTGCGCCATGTGGGTCCATCCCTGGCCTGCTGGGAATCCAACCAGTGCTGCAGAAGCTGTGGACAGCTTCACAACACTGCGCTTAACCTGCTGTGCCACCAGAGAGGCCCAATTTGCTCTTTTTTAAAATATATATATATATATATATATATATATATTTATGCATACAAGAACTGGGATACAGGCCAGAGGTGTGGAGGGGGAGAGGATTCACCAGAGACAGAGTGGGGAGCAGAACAGACAGACTGACTGAAAGCACTGCTGAGGGGAGCAGCCGGTGAGTCAGGAGAGGTCTGCCATGCCATGTGGGTGTCTCCCTGGCTGGCTGGGGAGCAAACTTGTGCTGCAGTGGCTGCAATAGCTTCATAGTGCTGTGCTTAACCCCTTGCACCACCAGGGAGCCCCTGATTTGCTCTTTTAATTGCTTAATGCTGGTGACATTCACATTGCTGACTGTAATACAACCCAGTCATTGTAGCCCTGCAGCCAATGTCGCTGCTGAGAGGGGCTCCAGTATACAATTATACTGCAGTTACGTCTTGTTGTCTTTGTGTTGGACATTTAAAATAGCTTCCAGTTTGTATCATTACAAGCAAAGCTGCTTTAAGTGTTCCTGTAGTGTGTGTGCAAGAATTCCTTTAGCATAGTGCATAGAAGCACAATTGCTGAGTGGTAGACAAGGCACAAAACTTTCTAGATAATAGCAAATTCTTTTCCACAGTGGATGCTCTAATTTGTAGTCCCACACTGACCTACGCTCTCACCAATTCTTGATATGATCATATGTTTAATATTGCCCATTGGTGAGAAGATGGTATCTCATGGTAAATACATTTGAAGAGGGTTTAATGTATATTTATAGGCTCATCACTCAATTATTTGACAGTCATGTTTTCTGAATTAGTTCTTTTGAAATCAACTTTATGTACAAGTTAGAAGGCACATATGTTAAGTGTCCACTTCCTGGGTGTGTGTGTGTGTGTGTGTGTGTGTGTGTGTGTAGAAGAACTAGGGTGAAGGCTAGAGGTGTGGGGGAGAGGGTGTGAGAGGACTCACCAGAGACAGAGTGGGGAGCAAAGCAGGAGGATCGACTGAAATACACTGCTGAGAGGAGCAGCAGGGAGACAAGAGAGGTCTGCTGCACCGTAAGTGGGTCATCTCCCTGGCCGGGAATCAAACTCAGGCTGTAGCGGTGATAATACTGAGACTTAACTCCTAAGCCACCAGGGAGGCATGTGTTTTGTTTTGTTTTGTTTTGTTTTAAACCCATACACTCTATAACCTTCCACCTAAGCAAGACATAGAATATTCTCATCACTCCAAAAATTTCCCTCATCTTTTTACCGTCAATCCCCACCCTCAGCAACCTCTGTCCCTGGCAACCACTGATCTGATTTCTAATATTACAAATGGTGTTGCCTATTTTAGATATTCTTATAAATGGAATCATGCAATTTGTACTCTCATGTCTGCCTGGCTCCTGTTACTTAATCTAATGTTTTTGTGATGTACCCATATTGTTAGATCAGTAATTCGTTCCTTTTTGTTGCTAAGTAGTATTTCATTGTCTGAATAGGCCACAACTTGTTTTTTTCCACTGACATTTATGGAATTTGGGTTGTGTCCAGTTTGCGCCCCCGGTGAAAAGCTGCTGTGAACTTTTGTGTGGAAAATTTTTTTAATGCATTCAAGAACTGGGGTGTAGGCCATAAGTGTGGGGGGTGAGAGGATTCACCAGAGACAGAGTGGGGAGCAGAACAGGTAGAATGACTGAAATACACAGCTGAGGGGAGGAGCAGGTGAGACAGCAGAGGTCTGCTGTGCCATGTGGGTCAGCTCCCTGGCCAGGGATCAAACTCCTGCCGCAGTGGCTGCTGATAGCTTTGCTGTCAATTGCTTGATAGCACTAAGACTTTAACTCCTGCGTCACCAGGGATGCCCCCTGTGTCAAAGTCTTTTTATGGGTTTTTGTTTGCATCTCATTGTGTATTTTTGTAAGAAACTACCAAACTATTTCCCAAAGTGGTAGGACCATTTTGTACTCCCACTAGCAATGTATGAGTTTCCAGTCACTTCAAATCCTAGTCAATACTTGGTATCATCACTATAATTATAGCCAGTTCAGTAGGTGTGCAGTGGCGTAGTGCCTACCACAGACATGTTTAACTAATTCTCAGAGTGGTCCTGAAAGGTAGATAGGACTATTTCTGTATTTTAGTGCTAATTCTAAGACCAATCAGAGAATCAAGGCTTAGTGAGGTTAAGTAATTTGTTTGCATTTATACAATTAATAAGTGGCCAAGCATGGGCCTCCCCAGTGGCGCAGCGGTTGAGTGCTGGGTTGAGCTGCCCGCAGCCTCTGCAGCACCGGTTCGATCCCCGGCCACCAGGTGAGGGTCCCACATGGCGCGCAGACCTCTCCTGCTGCCCACTGCTCCCCTCAACAGTGTACTTCGGTCCTTCTGCCTGCTCTGCTCTCCGCTCTGACTCTGGTGAATCCTCTCACCCTCCCGCGCTTCTGACTATACTCAGTGCTTGTATAAATAAATAAATAAATCTTTAAAAGAAAAAAAAAATCAGTAAGTGGCCAAGCGGAGCTGGGATTTGAACTCATGATAGTTTGGTTTCCAAGTATAGTTGAACACTATACCAGGCAGCCTCTGAAAGGATGCCCTTTGTTTTAGTCAACGTGATTTCTTATTATCTAATGAGAGTAAGTTCATCCAACATTCACACCTACACGCTTCACTCTTGAGGGTCTTTAAGCCCCTTTCCTCACGAACCATCCAGTGAACGAAGGGACTGGGAGAAGGAGGGCGGTGGAGAGACCTACCCTGAATGGTAAGGCAAACCGAAAGCTGATCCAAGGCCCTAGGAGAAGACTCAAGAAGAGCACTGAGTTTGGAGGGACCTGAGGAAGAGCGGGACAAGATCCCCAACGTGAGAGGATGTAAGCGTGTCAGGATGAAAGACAGGAGAAGACAGAGAACATTGTTTCCTCTACCAGAGGCGACCTCAGAGTGCAGATGTAAGCAGGGAAGAAAAGAGAAAGGAAACTATCCTTTACCGACGGGTGGCCGGGTGAAGGCACAGATAGGTGGATTTAGTCCTCTTAGAAATGCTGAGCCAGCATTTCAATCAAGTTTTTTGGGTGTGAGCAAAGGAAACCTAGCTTAGACGAGCAGGAGTATATTGTGAATTGTTTGGTTAAATGGGGGAAGGCGAGCTGGGCAGTTCCAACGAGAACTGGAACTCAGGCCTGTCCAGGGCTCTGAGTACCTTTGTGCTTCTCTATACTTGTCAATGTCTTTCTTTTGAACTGGGTTTCCTCATGCCTC